TTTTTATTTCATTTTCAATTAATCAAGATTAAACATTTTCATTTCCATTGCTATGATTCGTTTTGTTGTGAAATATTCTGTGTGTTGTTTTCCACAAAGTGCATTTGATATTTCTTCATATTCAAATGACTATTGATTACAACATGATTTTGTTTTATTATTTTCTTTATAAACAAGAAATCTTATTTCCAAAATATCTAAATGAAAACAAATAATCACTTGTTTGATTATATAATATAGATGCAAAATGATGATGTTAATGAATCTGCTTTCCAAAAAATCATGTTTTTAATACGGTTGGTTCTATTTTTGATCTACCATAAAAAGAACTGTTCCTTGTTCATCTTTTCCTCTTCTTCCAGCTCTTCTACTCATTTGAATATAATCTCCTGATATAAGATATCTTGTTTCTTTTTCCACCATATTTTTACATTAATAAATATAACAGTTCTTGACGGCATATTTAGTCCCATAACAAATGTTTCTGTTGCAAATAAACATTTTATTAATCCTTCTTGGAATAATATTTCAACTGTTTCTTTCATTATAGGTAATAATCCTGAATGATGCATTCCTACTCCTTTTAATAATAATGGAAGAAGTTCTGTTATTTGTTCTAATTTCCTATCTTCTGCATTTAAACATTGAATAGCATTATTAAAGATTTTTGCAATTATAGTTTTTCGTCATCTGAAGTTAAGTCCATTTTATTACATGTTTTGCCATTACTTCAAGTTCTTTTCTATTAAATGAAAAGACAATAACTGGTGAAAGTTGTATCAACCAATAAAAAGAAAAATTGAACTTGTTTAGACACTAAATTTTTACTTTTTAATAAGATAAAAATATAGTTAAAATATCTTATTAGATAATATTTATGATTAATTCTAACGATTATTAAAATATATAAAATTATTTTTACAATTATCCAAACCATTCTTAGAAACAATCATAATTGAATAAAATAACAATTTTTAAACTTTATTACTATTTTAATATTTTGTAACCTTTTTATTTATATGAACAAAATTCAATGTCATTTATAAAAATCTAAAGGTAAGAACTATATTTAATTGTTACAGAATTAATTTAAAAAAAAACAAATAAAATATCATGCTTTAAAGAAGATAAATGAATTTACCTTTTAAATTTATTAAAAATAAAAAGTCAAATAAAATTAATTAAATGACTTTTAGTAATATGAAAATAAATTTATTTAAATATCTTTTATATATAAAATTAACTGATTTTTTTATGAAATAACTGAAAAATAACTTAAAACGAAAATCAAATCAATCAAATTCATCAACTCCATCATCTTTCTCTATCTCTTTGTGAAATTTTATATCTTCCCCATTCATTGTTTCAATAGCTTCTTCATCATCATCCACATTTTTGCCAAAGAAAAATCGTTCTCCATTTCTAAATATCATACCTTCATCTTCTTCTTTAAATAAAGTTACTCCTGCAGAACCACAAAAGTCATCATTAACAAGACCACGTGCTGTATCTTCTTCTTGTCTGTCTTTTTTAAACTGTTCAAATTGTTTGTTTTTCTTTTCTTGTTCTTTCTTTAAATATTCAGCTTTTTTCTTTTGAACTTGTTGGTAATAGTCTTCAAAGAATTGTCTCTTTCCTTCTTGAATACATTCTAATAATTTGTCAACACCTTCCCCTGTCTTTGAAGATACTCCACAGTGAAGAATATTTTTATAAAAGTCATCTAATGCAAGACATAATGACCTTTGAAGGTCGCTTGCATATGACTCAGTTTCATTTAGTGCATCAAGATAATTATCGTAATCATCCATCCATTGATTTAGTTTAGTACACGGAATAACATCAGTTTTAGTAAAAACAATTATTAATGGTAATTTAGTTTTATAAAGAATACTACATGCATATGTCATATTTGCCATAAATGTATTTGGATTTTCAACACAACGAGCAGTATCAACAACATAAAGATAAATTGTTGGAGCTACTATTGATAAAGCTTCACTAATAACTTGACCACTAGCACTCCAAGTAAATACTTCAATTTGACCAGGAGTATCAATAAATGTTAATTGTTGTTTGTTTTGTAAAACAGTTACTAATTGATCAACTTTTGTAGAATATAAATTTAATGATGTAACAATTGCACCATTTGGTCCTAGTCCATAGTCTTTCATTACTTCTTTATAATTTACTGTGTCTCTAATATCAATGTCAGGTGAATATGGTGGGTCATTACAAGCAGGGTCTAAATTAATTAAATATGCATCAGTTTTTTCAGCTAGTATAGACATAAGAGTAGTTTTACCACTTCCTGCCATACCAACTAAGATAACATTAATGCTTTTAGTATCAAGAGGAATATCTTGCATGTTACTTCAGTTTTTTCTTTTGAAGTTTTTCTATGAAAACCTAATTCCTATTTTCAGAATTTCTAAATAACAAAAAAAGAAAATAGAAACGGTAAATTATTGGGATTGACTAGCTAACTGATCAATAGCTCGTAATTGTCCAAGAACAACTTGTTTACGATGTTCCATTACTTCTCCAGCAAGGAATACTTCATCAATAACTTGGTAGACTTTGTGGAAATAATAAATAAGATCCAATTCACAAACACTACCGAAATAACTATCCAAAATTTCAACAAACATATGAATTGCTTCAAGGCAAGCAAGTTCATTATCAGTTTCATCAACACCACAAATGAAATATAATCCTACATATCTACGATATACTAATTTTAAATTGTGGAACTAAAATAAAATAAATATTTTTTCTTCTTTTTCTTCTACAACCAACTAAATCCTTCTTTCTTTTTGAATTGTTAAACAGTAAGATGTGTTTCTGTCTGTGTATTATTCATTAGAAAAGGATATAAACTATATTCAAAGAGTTGATAAACAATTAAAGAGATTAATCAAAAAAAAAGAAACAAACTTCAAGAAAATTAGTATGTCTTGAATCACGAGTGACAAGAATACGATGAATATCTGATGTTAATTTAACCTTTTCACTTTCAGAATAAGCATCATACCATTTGGCCAAACGAACACGTCCAACTTTATTTTGAATGAAGAAGAAATGAATCTATAATCATAAGTTTATAAAAGACTAAATAAAATGATTACTTTGAGACTCAATAAACAAACCATCTTATAACACTAATTTTAGTTTTTTAAGATCGTTTTTGTTTTTATTTTTTCAACTAATCTTGAAATTTCTTTATTAAAAAGAAAAAATCTTAAAACAAAAAAAATAAAATCATACTTCTTTAATCTCCCTTTTTTAAAATGAATTTAAGAAATCAAATAAATTTACTTGAACAACGCAGAATCATTCAACAACAACGTAGAAATAATCAAAAAGATCAATTTTATTTAAATAATTATTTAAAAGGTGTTTGTAAGATTTTATAGAAATATTTCTTTTCAATTAAATATTCATAAAATCCAGTCAATTACATCATGTGATGTTGATATAATTAATGACTTAACAAAATGTCAAAAAGAACAATTAAAAGATGATTTAAATTATATGGACTATGTCTTTGAAAAAGAATTACAAGAACTAGAAGTCTTACCAATGGAATGTGAGTAATTGAAAATAACTTGAACTATTTTATTATTATTTTATTTTTCAGTTATCATTTTTAAGAAAACTTTCTTAAGTTAGTTAATAACGACACTGAGTGTTCTTTTTAAATCATAAAAAAATTCTTTAACGCATTAAATAAAAATTTGTTAATTAAAAAGTATCTTTTGAAAAGTAATTAATTACAAAATGTTAAAAATACTTATATTCATTCATAAATAAGTAGGTAAACTAAATTCTATTTATCCAAATGTTATGAATATTTATTTATATATAAAAACTGTGTAATATCATTTCAATGAATAGAATGTTAAATTTATAAATACTTACAATTTTTTTCATAAATTTAAGAAAAAATATAGAAACTACAATCAAGAGTTCTGTATATAATTGATATTAAGGTGTGATTTTAGATTCATCGTATCTAAAATTTTTGATTTTTTTTAGAGTCTATTACTTTTGTTAAAACACTGAGTAAAGTACAAGAATTAACACATTCAATATTATCTTAAATCATATATAAAATTAGTTTAAGGGTTGTATCAAATATATTAATATTAAAATATAAAACTTAACTCATTAAGAGGAATGTTAGAATTACACTAGCTTATCTTTGTTTTTTATGTGAGAGATTAATTAGAAAAAAATCCAAACAACCATTAATGCTAATAAATAATAATCTTTGTCGTAACTAATTTAAGTTTGTCTATGAGAAAAGATTAAAAAATAAATCTCTTTTTTTTAATTCTGAAGTTACTAAGTAATGAACGTTTGTAGTAACGTTATAATCACTTCATTTCATGAAGTCCGAAAGTAATTATTTTTTCGCAATTCTTAATTTAGTTTAATTTCACCAAAAGAAGAATGCCAACTCATTAATTCGTGGTATTCCAAAAGAATATCGTTAAAAAGTAACTATTCATATGCAATCAGTTTTCGCTCAATGAAATTGTTTTGTCACCAATATGACAAATAAATAGATAAATGTAATATTTTTAACAAACCACATTCAAATTATAGTTTAACGGTTAAAAGTGTTTTTTTAACAAAATATAATTGCAAATTGATTTAATTTTACAGCAGGATAGGTATTTTTCGCAAGGAGTTTGATTTTTTTTTTCAACAGGTTGACTATAAAAAGGTTCTTCATCTCATAACACCCATTCAATATTTCCTTCTTTATTATGTCTACTTGTTGTGAATCCTCTACTGAAAAAAGATATTCAAGAAATAAAAAAATTGTAAGGACTTGGTCAAAAGAAGAAGACCAAATGCTCCTTTCTGCTATTGAAGCATACGGAAATAATTGGAATGAAATTGCTAAAGCTGTACCAAGCAGAAGTAGAAAACAATGTAGAGAAAGATTTTTAAATAATTTATCAAATGCTAATGAAAAGAAGCAATGGACTATGTTTGAAGATGCTATTATTCTTTCTCAACGTAATATTCTTGGAAATAAATGGACTCAAATTTCTCAATACCTTAATGGACGTTCTCCAAATGCTGTTAAAAATAGATATTTTGGTCATCTGAAAAGATTGGGAATTACTGAATCAGATATCACAGCATCAGTTCTCTCTCAAAAGTCTATTAGTGCATTTGCCCCTGTTTGTCATGAACTTTATTGCATTGTATAATTGTAATATATATTACTAACTCTTTTGTTATTATTTTAATAAGTTATTTCTTTCTCAAAAAAAGAAGAAAATAGAGTGTTATTATTAATAAAGTACTTCACATCTTTTATAATTAGTTTTTTTTATTTATTCTTCTTCCTTCTTAGTCAAATTATTTTCAATATATCATAACCGATATTTACTTGCTATATATTTGTTATAAAAAACAATAACATTCTGCTTACCCACAAATAGATCTGTTATTACTTTCCTTTCATCTATTAAATAAATGTTTTCATATTATTTGTAATAACAATTTAATTAACGTTATAAACATCATTTAAATCACAAATAAAGAACGAATTGAAAAATCCCCGAAAGATTAAGTTAAAAACAAAGAATATAAATTGTAATTAAAAAAGAACTAGAGTTATTTTTGAGATAATATTATGTTAATTTTAGATAATAAAAATATAAATAAAAAAAGAATATTCTATTCAAAAACATTAAATAAAAATAAAATTTTGGTAGAAGTAAGAAAAAGGATGAAAGGAATAAAAAGATGACTTTGAGGTAAAAAAAAATAGGAAGAGGAATTAACAGATTGAAGTAATTCAACAAAAAATCATTGAGAAGAACTCAAATTATGTTCATTTTACTAATGAAGAAAACAACATCTACTGAAGAAACTAAAATAGTTACATATTCTATGAAAGAGCTTAAACGGTCTTCAAAAACATTTGAAGCAATTCAACAAGCATTAATATTATCTATTTTAAATATAAATGGATATGGATTTAAAATAAAAAAACCAGAAAGAAGATCTCAAAAAACTTTACAACTGATGTTAGTTGAAGAAATATATGAAAAAGATTCTATTATTTTATTAGAAGAAAATATTAATGCCACTTGTAATGAAATTGTCAAAAAAGAATTAGAAGAAAATGGATGTATTGAATTAGAACCAAGTGATATTGATGGAACATCTTCAATTGCACAATTAGCTTCAAAATATGATTCAGAGAAATTAAAACAAATAAAACGACATAAAAATGCCAATAAGATAGCATTAACATTTAAAGAATTATTACAAATGAGTGAGAAATTAGGATATAAATTTAAATATAGAACAACAAAACCTGCAAAAATGACAAAAAAATTAGAAAAGATTTCTTCAGTTTATGGAAAAGTTAATTTAACATTAAGTGATATTAATGAAATTGGAAAAAAAGTAAATGAAAGTATTTATAAAAGATTTAATAAAGAAAGTTTTTCTATAATTATTCCTCCACATGATTTGATTATTGAAAAGATTTGTAATAAAGTTATTGAAAGTAATAAAAATATTGGTCATCAAATAGAGACTAATACTAGTAAATTCAAAAAAATAACAAATAAAGATAAATTTGATAAAATTGGTATACCAACAACTTCATTAGAAAAAGAAAATACTCAAAATAATTTATTCTCTTCTACACAAGATAAAAATTCACTTAATTTAAAACAAAATCATTTCATTAATAATACAAAAATTATTCAAAATACTTTAATAGCAGTTAAACCAAAAATAATGGAAAATATTGACATTAAACTTACTTCTGATACTTTAGATCATACCTCTAAGGAAGATAAATTTATTAGTCCTGAACCATCTTTAACAACACCTTCAAATTTAACAGATTTTAGTACTTCATTCTGTCCTGAAGAAAGTGTTATTTCTGGAATACAATCAGATACACCTTTTTACACCTATGAAAATATGTTCGATCATAATTATCTTCAACAACTTTCAATACAACCTAAAATATTATTTTTTAATCAACAACCAAATTCTTATTCTCATGAAGAAATTTCTATTTATCCTACTGTTACTTCTCTTCCAATTAATAAATCATCAAATGAAATAATTACTCAACCCTTTGATGAACATTCATTTTATTTTAGTACTAATCAAAACAAAACAAATGACATTCCTTATCTAGATCACTTTTTTACTCAATCACTTCCTTCAAACACTTGTTGTGATTAGTAGTTATATATCATTTCTCTTTCATATTTCACTGTTTTTAATTCATTCTTTCTTTATCAATTTTAAGTCATTCTTTGTCGTATTAGACTTTTTAATAATTTTTAACTTACTATTTTAAGACTTTTTTCTAAAAAAAAGGTATGACTTTATTACCTTTTTTATTTTTTTACTATTCTTATTATTTTATTAAAAGTTATTCCTCTTAATAAAAAGAATAGTAAATCAAGTCAACATGTCGAATATTCAAAGCAACGAAAAAAGTCGATAGAGAAGAAATAGGAAGGTGGGGGAATAATTTAAAGAAGTCAAATAAATTAACAAGAAAAGAGAAAATAGTAAAAATATAGAACGAACTAAAAAAGTTGTTTATTCCAATGAGTAAATTATTGGAGAAATATAATATCAAAGAGTCAAATGAATTTATAGTACCCAGCACACCCGAAGGATATAATAGATATGGGTTTAGTACTCTTACTAAAGGAATGGATTATACCTCTCAATGTGAAATGATAACATCTTCTCAAAAATTAAAGGAAGAAACAAGAACCATTAAATGGAAAAAAATGTTAGAACAATGGAAGTACGATGGAAAAATACCAAAAAAATTAAAACGTAGAGTATATAAGGGTGTTCCTGTTGAATGTAGAAAAGAGTATTGGAGTCTTATTAGTAAATCTTTTCAAAGCAAACAACAAGGAAATGAAAATCTTAATAATCTTTTTTTCTCAACCAAAGAAATTAATGATGATAATCAAATTGATTTAGATGTTAAAAGGACACTTGGATATCATTATTTATTTAAAGACAATTATGTCATGGGTAAAAGAGAATTATTTCTTATCTTACGTGCATTATCACAAGAAATTCCAGAAGTAGGATATACTCAAGGAATGTCTGATTTAGCAGGAATAATATTTTCTATTGTCCTACAACGAAATGATACATTTGATTTAATGAATACAATGATTACTAATGAAAGATATAACTTACAATCTTGTCTTAAAACAGGATTTCCTGGGTTAATTAGGTGTGAAAAAATACATAATATGTTACTTAAAAATATTCATCATTCAATATATAATCATTTAATTTCTTTAGGATATGAAGAGGTTCAATGTCCAGGATTTCTTTTTGAGTGGTATATGGTTTGGTTTTGTAGAATTCTTCCTTGTGACTTTTGTTATGCAATTATTGACTTGTGTTTATTATATGGACAACAAGCAATTTATACTATTGCAAGTACATTATTACATTATTTAAAAAAAGATTTATTAAGTTGTGAAGACATCAGTTCTGCTCTTCAAATATTAAAAAACCCTTCAAAGTCATTATTAAGTTATACGAAATGTTCTCAATTTATACGTCAATGTTATAAATATAGAATTAAGTCTCAAACAATAAGTGATTGGATGAATGCCTAATTTATCTTCTAAATAGGATGAGATGACAGATTTAACTCATCTCATTATGTCTATCTACTAATGTTTTAAATACACCGTTAATCAATACTTTGTTTTTTTTCTTAATTTTCTATTAATACGAACGAAACAATATTTATACCTCAAAAATTTTCGTTCTTGTTAAATTAGATTAGTTTAGGATAATTAATTATAAAACTAAAAAAAAAATAAAAAGAAAATATATTTTTGGTGATTAGTGAAGTAAAAATACTTTTTATTATTTCTCCTTTTTCCACCAATTAAAGAGAGAATAGAACATCAAAGTCTAAAATAAGAAAAAATGAAAGATCTTCTTTCTTCTATTAAAGAAACTGATCTTAAAATATCTCTTTTTTATTTAAATTGTTCTATAAATAATAGAAAAAAAGAGAAAAGAATTGGCAAAAAACGGGAAAAAGAACTGAAGTGTTATTCAGGATAAAAGTGGTTTTGTGGTAATATTCAAAGAACCAAAAATTACATAACTCGGAAGAGATAAACCGGGAAAAGAAAGAATAAATGCCAACCGAATTTAAGTAATCTAAAACTAAAAAATTTTCATAGTATTTTTCATGAAATCAACTACCTCAAAAACTTCAGGCTATTCTATGAAAGAACTTAAAAGATCATCTAAATCATTTGAGGCTATTCAACAAGCAGTTTTATTAGGTATTCTTAATGTTAATGGTTTTGGGTTTAGAATTAAACGTCCAGAAAGAAGATCTCAAAAGACATTACAATTAATGTTAATTGAAGCATTAACTAAAGAAAATACTTTAATTCAATTTGAACATGAGATTGATAAGAAATGTAACGAGTTAGTATTTAAAGAATTACAAGAATGTGGATATTACGACCTTCGTCCTGATGACCTTGATACAATTTCTTCTGTTTCTGTTCCAGATGAAAAATATAGCTTAGAAAAATTAAAACAAATAAAACGACATAGAGATGCTAATCGTTCTTCTTTGTCATTTGCTGAACTTTTACAGATGTGTGAAAAAATAGGATATGTATTTAAAAAAAGACCAACTAAACCAGCTAAATTAACTGTAAAAATGTCAAAAATATGTTCTGTTTCTGGTTGCGTTTCTCTTGGACTTTCTGAAATTAATAAAATTGGAGAGGCAATTAATCGTAATGTCTTTGAAAGATTTGAAAAGTCAAGTAGTTCTGTTGATGTTGGTGCTTATGATGAAGCTATTGGTGTCATTTGGAAAGATGCAACAGAAAAAATTGTTAATAGAAATTCTGTTGCTTCTGAACCAATTCCAAATGTTAAAGAAGAACCATTTATTATTCCTGAACCTTCTCTTGGTGCAATGTCTAATTTTACTGAATTTAGTACTTCATGTTATCCTGAAGGAAGTATTGTTTCAGCACAAGCACCTGATACATCTACTTTATCCTATGTACATTATTATTCTACTCCATTAGAAGGAATAAATCAACAACCAATTTACATACAAACAAATACTGGTATATCTCAACAACCAGTTTTTTATTTAAATGATGACGTACAAACTTATGTTTCAACAGAACCAAATCAATTTATTATTCAAAATCAATCTTTTCAATGTAATCAAAATATGACTGGTCCTGTAGTAGACCAACAAAATGGTCAACAACCTCCAGTACTTTTTACCGTTTATAATCAAAACCAAAATCAAATATTTGGAAATGATGAATGTTTTATTAACCAATCACTTCCTCCAAATGGTGGATTTTTTACTAATTGATAGTCATTGATTGTTTTATACGAATTAATAGAATGATTTAGCTTGTGTTTTAACTCATGTGTTTTTAATTTAATTTTCTTGTTATTTTTTTATTTAATTCTACTTGAAATAAAGAATATACATTTATAAATGTTCATTTATTTTTTTGTTTTTTGGACAAGTGAGTGAATAAAGAAATTCATATTTGTTTGCTCTGAGTTTAAACTATCATGAATAAGTTTTACAAATTCTAAATCAGATAATGAGTCTTGTTTTCCTAATTGTAATGAAGTGAATAAATATTCAGCATCTTTAATTTCATTTAATTGACTTAATTTACTTGAAATCATATTAGTAAAGAATGAAACAATAAGTGAAGCATTTTGTCTTAGAACATGATACGCTCTAACACAATCATCACAAAATTCTCTATACTTTACTTTATATCTTTCAGTTCCTCTTTCTCCAGCAAAGACATATATCATAGATTCAGTTAGTACAAACGGAGCAGGTTCTCTGTTAATAACACCAGCAACTTTTAATTTATTTCCTAAAAAATGAGCAAAGTCAATATGAAGAAAATGTCCAGATTTATCTACCATCAAATTATCATTATGTCTATCCGCTAATCCAAGAACATATGATGCAACACAATATCCAACACATGACCGATAAAAATTTTCTATACATTGTCCTAATGGCGCTGTTTTATTATTTTTAATCCAGTCATAAATTGCCGTTATTTTATATACTCCAGGTATTTTTGAATCATTATGAATCGATCCAATACTTCTAGAATCTCTCACAAATTCAATATACCCTGCTGTATTTCCTGTAGAAATAACTCTAAAAGTTGTCATTCTCCAATCCATTCCATTCATTCTCCATAAATTGTCAAATAATTTAAATGCCCTTAAAATAAGGCAATCTTGTCTAAGATCATCTCCTAACTTAAATATCATTTTATACCCACTAAAATCAATTAGTAACGGTACTGCATTTGATGTATACACTTTACTTTTCTCACAAGACAATCCACCAATAACTCCTGGTTTAAATGGAATTGGTACAGCAACAGAAATACTTTTTAATAATGCACTTCTATAAATTTGTCTTTTCTCAGAGTCCATTCGTATTAATGTAGAATTTACTGTTTGAACATTTAATGCAAACTCACATTCTTTTGTCATTTGACTAGCAAAAACAGGATCGGCAGATAACAACGCCTCAATAAATCGTGAATGTTGAATACTCCTTTTTGTCATGGAAGTATCACCAATAATCATTTTAAATAATGAATATCCAACTGTAGCTGGTGAAGCAATGCTTCTACGCAATAAAAAATCTGTTAACGGTGTTAGTCCTTCTTCATATCTTAATGCCTCACTTAAATGGATAGCATAAAATTGTAATACATTATCTGGTTGTTTATCTAATACTGAAACACAATAAGCTCTTACAGCCCTATATGGACATCTGTATCCTAATAACATTAAAGCATCTAATGGCTTTATTTGTTGAGTCCATAAGTATTTAACAAATCGAGCTACTTGAAGGTGATCAGTCCAATCAATAGAATGAGCTATTTGACCAATGAACTCAGCTGGTACATTTTCCATTTGTTCAATTAGTGCACGCTTAATATAATCAGGAGGACTTCTTGTAATAAATGATGGTGACCTTAACATTTGGAATATATCAACTCCATCAATAATCATTTTGTTAATTGGTTGTGGAACTTTGTCTTCATATTCTTTTAACTCATCCATTTTAATCATTGTTTCAAACTCTTCTCTATTTTTCACTGATTCAAATGTATCTAATTCTTTTTGAATATTCATTAATTTACTGTCTTCAACTCCTTCAATATGATATGCTGCTCTGGTAGAACCAAAATCAAGTTCTACAATTGGTCCTGAAACAAGACCATTTCCTATTGGTCTTTTACCTTCTTCTAAATGAACTAATTGAACTCCACACTTAAGAACTCCCCATGCATTAAATACCTTGACAGATGCACATCCAATACGTTTTTGTCCGATAAACACAATTAGAATAATTTCACAATCAAGTGGAATATCACAAATCCTTAAATTGCTATCTACTTTTTCATCAATTGAAAATTTGTAAATATACTTCTCATCGTTTGATGAAAGTGGAGATGTAATTACAACAGGTTTAAATGAAACTTTTTCCATTGGACATGACAATGTTTGATCTCCACACCGTAACACACACCTAACATGTATTTCATCTGTAACATGAGTATTATAATAAACTGTATTAATAATGAATGTAAAAGGCTCTTTAATCAAAGCACAGACAGGTAGTTCTACGTTTGAATAATTAACAAGATTACCAAATTTATTTAATGGAAGTGGTTTATAGAAACAATATGAAAAAGGGATAATTGTAAATTCTGGAATTCTGTTATGTGTAATACAATCGTACAAATACTCACTTTCGACAAGTCTATCATCCATACAAAATAATGTAGAAGAATTTTCTATTGCCATTACTGCATTAATATCTTTGATTTCTAATAGTCTGAATATATCTTTAATTGTTAATGTTACAGAAACCTTTATTTTAATTTTGTTTGGTCCAATTGGTACTGCCCCACATGCCACTTCATTATAACTAACTTTATTAAATGAAACAATAAAAGAAAGGAAATTGTTATGTACTACATCATTGTCTATTTTTAAGATACGGTCAATGCAAATTTTTTCACCTTGAGATGATGTTTTTATTATTGCACGTTGAATAGGATATGGATATTTATTCTTAAGACGAGTTGAATAATCAACCAATACTCTCATATATAACTCATCACTTGAATAACTATATTTTGGAACATATTTTTTATCACTTGGAGTTAAAACATAGCGACAAACAGTTGATATAGAGGGTGTATAACTATGATCTTTAAATGGTTTAGTAACACTCTGGTCTTCAAAATAAGCAAAGTTATCAACAGCACTTTCCATCAAAGATGGCATAAATAATGTGTTCAAATACAGTTGATTAGTTTCTTTAAGAGGTTGTTGTGGTGGTTGAAAAAAATCAGAACTTATAACAACTTCATTTGGTTTTGTTTGATTATTAATAGAATAAGTTTGTTGTATTGGTTGACTTGTTTGTTGATATGATTGTTGGTAATTAGGAATGGGTTGTACATACATAAAATTATTTTGTTGAGGCAAATACATAGGAATAGATTGTTGATTTTGAGTAGAATAAATAGGTTGAAATGAGTATTGAGGAGTAGTATAATAAGGGTAAGTGAACATTGGTTGAATAACTATCTATCTCTTAATAAACTAGTTGGTTTGGTTATTTTTTTCAATTTTTTTGAATATCTCTTTAAATCCTTTTTGGAACTTTTTTGATAATCATTTTCTAATTTTATTTTTTTTTTCATTCATTTTTGTTTTAAACTCTTTTTAACTTTCTTCTTTTTCTTATTTATTTTGTTCTTTCTACAATTCATTAAGACAGTCTTTTAAATTAATTAGTCAAATACAAAATGGTGAATTTTATTTCTATTCTTCTTTTAGTTTCTTTATTTGAAATTCTTTCTTACTAAAAAATATTTTTAGATGATGACAAAACTGTTTTTATTATAAAAAAAGAAAATAATAATAATGTAAAACAATACTCATTTGAATCTCAATCAATATACCCTCGCAACTCATTTTCTTCTTCATTCATTATACCATCATCATCGTCTGGAAGTGAAGTAATATAATCAATGTATTCTTGTTCAGCGTCTTGTAAAGGTAAACCAATATTTTCTTTACAAATTTTTCCTTTAACTTCTTCTATCCTCACTACAAATTGGTGTCTTATTTGGTCATCTGCACTTTGAATCCAATTACAATATTCATCAAAAAATAAATAATTCATATAATGTTTTAATTCATCTAATTTATAAATCCGGTGTAGTCGTAATAAAATTTTCATAAGAACAACTCTTCTTTTTTTAAAAACTTCAATAGTTTCTTCTAATGTTTTCATTGATAATTCCCAATTTCTTACAACTGGATAAATTAAACTTCTTCGAATACAAGTTTCGATTAAATCAACTATATCATCTATTCTATCAAAATATGACATTACTGGAGATAGTGTAGCAATAGTCCATCCTGATTCTACTGTACTTTCTCCCATAACTATTTGATCATATAAGTATCCATAAACAATACCAAATAAATCTTTATATATTTGTATTACCTCTTCATTGTTAACAAGAACTTCTATTTTATCTAATGCCCCAAATTCATTTCTTTCTTCATCTGTCCAATCTCCATCTTCTTTCCACCAAAATGAATTATTCTTTAACACTTCCTCTTCATTATCCCATTCAAATGTATCACAAATATATCGATCTTTATCAAAACTATTAAGCTCATCATCAATACGTTGTTTTCTTCTTCCTTTACTATCTGTTTGATCTGGATTTCTTAACATAACTATTTCAAATGAGTTTTGTTGTAAATCCTTAAAAAATTCAGAATGATTTCCATTAAAACCATATTTTGGTGCAAAGATATTAACTATATCTTCAGTTTCATCTCTTATCTGTTGATCTTCTCCAAGAATTAAATCATCATGTGAAATAAAATCTAATCTTTCTTCTTTTATTATTTTTTCATTAGGATTTTTTTTAATTTCATTTTCTTGTCGTAATTTTTCAAGTCTTTGCATTTTATCAATTAACTCTTGTTCTTCAGGAGTAATTTCTTTTATAACTTCATGTTCAGTTTTTTCTTCTTCAGGACAAGGAGAAGTATTAAGTACTTGAACTCGAGACAAAATTTTTTTCTTAGTAAGAAACAACGGTAACATATCAAGATCAGGAAATACTTCTCCTTTATTTTCTTTCGGTAAATAAACATGCAATTTACATTCAAGACGATCAATCTCAGCTTTTTCTGTTCCATCTTTAGCAATATCATTTTTAAATGTAAGTGATAAAAAATATGGTTCCGAATGATATATCATTGTGTTATTATCAATTTGAATATCTTCAACACCAAATTGCTGATACGGTGGTATTTTAATATGAACTATAACATAATCATTGTTTTGAGTTAAAGAAAAATATGGAGTGATCATCTGAATGTATAAACCAATTTAAATTTGTTCATTTCATTTTCATTAATTTCAATATTCAAATAACTAAAACCTTTTTAGGGTAAAAAAAATAAAACAAATAAGATAAAAAAATGTTATTTCATAAAACATAAGTTAATAATAAAGAAATAATAAAATAGTTTATTAAGAAAGAAAATATTCAGAAAGAAATTAAAAGAATAATTAATAAAAAGAAAACCTATTAAAAAACCCTGAGA